CAGGTACTCTATTTGTCGGAAATGAAATTATAAATAGATCGATCAACTGGTCTATTTCTTAAAAAAATAATTAATCGAATTGTATGATTTATTTTGTCAAATTTAAATACTATTAATATGATTTTCTCAAATGAATCGGAGTTACCGGGAAAATTTTTTGGTAAGCTACATGTACGATGTTCGCGTAGACAAACAAATAGCAAATAAATAAATGATAAGCAGGATATTGAAATGTGTCTTTTTTTTCATGCAGTATTCTGTTTTTCCTTGTTTATCGTCTGATAACGTTAGAAATATGTTTACGCGTCTGACCTGCATGTATGCACAATTATTTAAAGTCATGATGTTACAAATATAATTTAACATAAGAAAATGATCCAGATGATTTTAAAACGATTTTGGCCGTTTTCGTTCAAATTTTAAATTTATTTTTTAAAGCTAATTATAAATTCCTTGACATATGTCTAAATTAATAAAAAGAAATCAAAATTATAAAATATAATCAATGAAAATATTCTACTTAATTTATCACACCATGGCCGTTACTATAAAATAAAAGATTTTCATTAATTTTAACTGGCATTAGATAACATAAAATAATATATACATGTACAGGGAAAAACATGAAGTTTTTTTAACAGCTTACCTTTTCGGCGTGGAAATAAACTTAAAATATAATACATCGGGATTCCAAAAATCAAAATAAATCGAAGACCTTTCCTTAGAAGAAAACTGACATGTATGTGTAGCTCTCTAATTAGCACAATGTCTTCCTGTACGGCCAACCACCCCCTCCTCCTTCTCCCCTAACTGACACCTCGGCCCGTGTGTGTGTGATCACCGTCAACATACCTGTACTGATTTCTCACCTGGGGTAAATTAGTAACCTCGAATACTACCTGGTTCTACTGAAAGGCAACTTCTTATTTTCGGAATTTTGTTCCTAACTTGTTTGAACAATTTTATCAAAGATTTAATTCAAAATACATTAATAATTGTATGATTTATGGATTAAAAAATGATCTTGAATGTTAAATAAAAATTCAAATAAATCAATTCAATGAAATGTAGTCCCTAAACTTACTCCGTTAATTCTTTTTTCATTTCGTACAATGTTTCCATTATGTTTATGTAAATAAGACTTTTAATAAACATGAAAGAATATACTGCACTTATGGTACGTGCACTTTCGGGTCATCGGGTTTTCAACGTAAAACGGACAAAATTAATTCTAGGAAACAATTTCATTGATCGTAGAAACGGATGAAATAGTTCTAACATTCTAAACTATTCAAATTAGCTCGTAATATTTTTTAACGGTATCTTACTATAAAAATAAAACAAAAGGAGTCGTCTGATCCGCCGTGACCATGAAGACTAATAAATACACCGAATCAATTAAAGTATTAATCGATTTTATTCAATACGTATAAAACTTTATTTAAGAATTCAATTATAATATAATTAATAATTATATTTTATTTAAGAATTCAATTATAATATAATTAATAATTATATTTGGCTAATTTTAAATTTGTTGCGGACTTTCAAAATAACGCCCTTCGAATATGCCTAATATGAGATTACCGGGTCAGTGTAAAATGATTTTAAGGTTTAATAAGGACAGATGATACAAACAAACTTTTATCAAAGAATATGAAAATAACAATTTGGGTCATGTTTAAATGAATAAAATGAATAAACTTTACCGCATAGTTTTTAATTTTTTATTCAAATTTGCTAAAAAATGGAATTTCGAGTGAAAAATATTTGTATAGATTATTAAGGATGGTTTCAGAAGGGCAGACTTTTGAACATCACAGAAAGTTTACAATTCCTTTATATTCCAGAAATTTATTATTTGCATAATTTTCAATTAAATTAGGCCCTAAAATATATACCAATCCAGGCATCCATTTTTTTGTTTGTATCATCTGTCCTTAAACCTATTTTTCGTTATTATTAGAAACAGTACACACAGAGTTGAATAGCAATAATCTATAATTATTTAGTCGGAAAAGTCGAATTTTACTCTTTTAATATTTGTTAATTAATTTTCTGTTTTGTATTGTTAAGAAGAAAGTATTTGACCATTCACTGTTCGTTAATAAATACGAGATTTTAAGTATCTGTAATGTAAAATGTTTACATGTACATAAGTCAGAGCTTAGCGAAAATGTACATGTGCAGTTGTAGCAGATTCATATTCTCATGACACAGATTACATGTATTAATACAGATTGCCATTATTTTAATAATTATTTAGATTTCTATTCAGAAAATTTAATTTTCTTGAACTGTTTCGTTCTTGATAGATTTATCATGTTAAATTTATTAATTTTGTTAAAGCCGTTTTCTTTAAACCTTTCTTTCGGCCAGACTTCTACTTGTATTATTTTCTAAAATATTAATATCTAATTGCGATTTTTGGATACATCGCAGATTGTAAGCTTTTGACATTGTATATAAATTTATTTGATAGAAAAATTAAAATGTATATTTTCATGAATAATAAATCTGTTTATAGAGTTTCAAAATTCACACACTTGAGAAGAAATAAAAAAAAAATACAGTCTCCATTTCATAAACATCCATTTAATCACTGTCAATTTTTTATATATATACATAAATAAACAACTTTTGTAAAATTAATACAGAGATCTCAAGTTCTTTTTATGATAATTAAATGTACTTTATAGTTTAGATTTGAAGCTCTGCGAGTATTCAAATTAAAAATATAATTTAATTTAAATAATCTTTAATCTTTAGATTTAATTCAATATAATCTTTTCGTCTTGTCAAAAAAACATTCCGCATTTTGAAACAATCCTATCAGGTTTTGCGTTTATCCTATCGTGTAGATCGTTTATCAGGTCTATCGTGTTTTGCGTTTATCGTGTTTTGCGTGTATCGTGTTTTGCGTTTATCGTGTTTTGCGTTTATCCTATCGTGCGTGTATCCTGTCCTATCGTGCGTGTATCCTATCGTATCGTGCGTGTATCCTATCGTGCGTGTATCCTATCGTATCGTGTATCCTGTAAAGAATAACGATGCGGGTACTGTAAGCTCCATACCCCCAAAAATAGATTTGAGAACTCTTAACCTTTTTTCTTTTTACTTGCAGATCCCTATGTCAAGCTCTGGTTAAAATTCGGAAACAACCGTATAGAGAAAAAGAAAACATCAATTAAGATGCGAACTCTAAACCCAGTATACAATGAGTCGTTCTTTTTTGAAATTCCTTGGGAAAAAATCCGGGAAGCTGCAATAGAAGTAATTGTGATGGACTTTGATAAAGTGGGAAGGAACGAAATGATTGGAAAAATTGTGTTAAGCAGCAAGAGTGGTCCCGTGGAGACAAGATATTGGAACGACATGATAACAAAGCCTCGCCAACAAGTCGCTCAGTGGCATTTACTTAAAGACTGACAAAGGCTAAGGCTTAGAATATTATAAATTCTTTGTTTAACAAAATAACATTGTATTTTGTTGGTAGGATATTTAATATTGCAGATTTTGTATGATATTGTCATTTTATATGATTAGTGATCTGTAAAATTTGTTTTTAAGATCTCACAAGATGGGTAGCAAAGATGGCGACGTTGTCAAAGATGACGTGATATATAATGCAATCTTTCATCTATGTGTTTCATTTTATTGTTTTGAAAAGTATATTTAATAAATTCTTGAACTCCATTTTGTCATAGAAATGTGCACAGATGAAATTCTATAGATTAATGAAGCAATGTGAGTTTAAACTTCCTTTAAAGCATAACATTAAGTCGGCAGGGGATAAAATTTCATTGATTTGATATCTTAGATAGTTTTGTGGAGATTCAATTTCTTTGTTTTTAAACTAAACATTTTCTGTATAATTATATACATTCATATTGAATTTCTTGTCGGACTTAATTTACTCATAAATTTTTAACAGAAAAATACAACAAATTTTATCCCCTACGTATATTCTGCTTAACCTAACAACACATTTTGTAAAATCAGCAGACACTTGGAAGGTCAGTCAACCTTTTCCAATCTTGAAAATAAATCCAGAGTTATCCCTCTTTAAACGCAACTCTATGCATTTATATCTATAGACACGGGCACTGAAAGATAATTTTGATATAGAATACAGAGCCTTGCCGCTAGGGTTCGATGTAAGGAACGATAACTCATCATTAGTGGAACTAGCTTGTTTACGTTCCCAATTTCTTTGAACAGGTAGACTGAAGACATATACTCCTCATATGTGAAGTCAACCGATTGTATACAAAATAATGTAAGAAACCGTTTTGTGTACCAACTGAAGCAGTTTATGTCTTTTCTATAAACTATAACTCATAAATCGGCACTTTGATCTTCACATGTACAGTTGCGTTACCTGTAGTTAAAATACAACTTCGTGCAAATCAATTTTAAAGATTTAATTTAAGGTAGCTAGAGTTTATTATATTTTAAGAATTTCATGCAAATGTAAATTTATCTAATGTTTTTTGACCATATTTGCAACTGAAAAAAAGCAGAAAGGCGTAGAGTACATGCATGTGCAGGTATAAATAACAAATGATAGAACCCTCTTTTTAAAAAGGAAATACTAATGTTTTGAACTAGGTTTTTAAAATGTGCTGACGTTTACACTTTACTTGCAATAGACACATATCAATCAACCTTGCAGCAATTTCATTGGATTAACGAGGCTCGGGGGTGGCAGCCATTTTTAAACTATTTCAATCTCCTTTAAAAGGAGAGCTCCATATAAAGATATAGAAATTGATCAAATTTTAAAATTTAACTTTTTGAATTTTTTCTTTGTCAAATGATAGTTCACAGCTAAAGATACCATATCTGAAAAAATAAGTTAAATCTGGTGGTTAATTTGGGATTAATTTGTTGACCCTCCAGCCTCCTTAAATCTCAAACCTAGGATAAAGTCATGTGAGTTCTGTGAACAGTCCTCTGTGACTCTATATACTTACTATATTTTATAAGTAGTTCCATCGTCCTAGCAACTTAGAAATAATTAAATTTATATTTAACAAAAACTTGTACATGTACAACTACATGTTAAATTGTGCTTGTTTTTTGCTTGTATAACATCCTAAAGGTGATGATAATCAGAGAGTTTTCAATCTTAAAGGCAAACGAGTAATTGTTTAATCAAAATTAAACATTTTGAAGACCCTTGTTATAATGCATAATTTATTTAACTTGACTATCAATTTTAACATAGAAATTTCAATTACACGTAACAGCATTTTTAAAAATGAAGAGCATTAATTTTGTGACGTACACATAAAAATAAAGCATATAATATATTTTTGTAACAAATGCTATGATTGCAAAATACATTAAATAAAAAAAAAATGAAATATATTGTAAACATTCTAGGCATTGTTTCTTCCGAATTTAAAGAAAGACAAAATACAATACGCAAAACATAAAAAAGGTTTAAGTCAGCTTTGATTATTCAAAATTAATTTTACATTCAATTTATTAAGACGATGTTGTTTCAAATGACATGAAGATATCATTTCAACATAAGCTAGTGTTAGTAGAAAAATAGTTTGAATTAATTCACCGCTTTCAAAATAAACTGTCTAAAATTGCTATAAAATCAACATAATTAAACTAAGAAGTTTAAATGGACACAACTTATTCAAAAACAGCGACTTTTGAGAGTTTATGATATAGAAAATCTAACGTGTCCACTAATAGAGACGTCATGCAAAGAGTCAACAAAAATTACACAAGATCAAAAATGTTATCAAATTAAGTTATTATCATATAAAGATCAATTTTTGTCAATCCAAAAGCATCTTCCGAATCCTAGAAACTTATTCAAGCATTGATCTTTTCTAAACAAAACAATTACTGTCCTTAACGACGTTTTCTGGAAATCAGGTAGTGGATTTTACTGTTATATGTGATATAACGGCGCTAAATGATAGAAATATACAGCGTCACAATGCTGTAAAACGCTGAATGTCATAAATCATTGCATTCATAGTTGACTTGCTTATCTGCTTATTCATTCTTTCCTTAATTGACAATTTAACATTTGTGGTCGAAAAGGTCTACGATTTAGGACAGATGATATAAACTAAAAATGGATGCTTGGATTGGTATATATTTTTTACCTAATTTCATTGCAAATGGTGCAAATAATAAATAAAATATCCTTCCAAAAATATAACTGTAGAAAGGATTATCTACAATGAAGATATCTTTAGAAATTTCAAAACGTTATGAAAATTCATGTAAACTGTTCATAGAACGAAGGCTGCGCTAATGGAGTAAAATAATACACGAATTTCTTATTTCAGTTTGACATCGTGAATTGTTTCATTTCAGATATCAATAAGTTCTCTCTCTGCACAAGGATGCATCCCGTTTTGAATCATTGATGTTTGTGAAACATATCCGTTTCTCACGAACCTGTAGAAGCAACAGGAAAATAAACTCTATCTTCTCAGAGAAACATAAAATATATATTCCATATTATCACAAGTATTTTACTCACCTTATTTCTACATCTTCAAAGCTTGAATTTCTTTTTCCAAAGTTCCATTGCTGAGTCTCATTATTGCCTACACGATGGTAGTAAACAAAATGCAAGTTAATGTCCATCGACATTGTAGAAACCCTGAACAATACCTATTATTATTTCAGCATAAGTTCAAATTTCAGTTTAGTGTACACGGATGTCAAGCTTGCAAATTTCTTTATAAATGAAATTTCTCATTACTCAATCATTTCGAAGAGCCAAAAGATGACGTTCATATATGATGTATTTATAAGCTGAAAATTTATTCATATAAAATACGAGAGTTGTCCGGTTTAATCGTGGACAAGTTGTCTTGCGTGAATAATAATCATCACAGCGTTCTGAAATTTTCACTACTCTTTAGTATTATTCATTGCTACACATACTTTTGTCTCCATAAACAATTGATGAACCAATATGGCACAAACTAGTGATTTCCTGAAGTTTTTTTTTTAGTTCTTAAGTTACGGCCAATATTCCCGCCATCATTCAATTTAAAGACAAGTCTTATATTGACAGACCACAGTGTCGGCGTCTTTTGCTATATATACAATGTAACAGTTTGTCCGTATGTTTTGGTACTACATGGGAACTCGATCAAGAACGACTTCACTAGGAAAACTAGTATTTCGTTTCTATACTAAAGATCTGGTAATTTTTAAAAAGTTTTAAAGCTCTCAAGTGCGCTATAACGTCATTAAACGTCACCATTTTTTGTCTGTTGTGTTTATAACTTTCCAATTTCAAATGCTCTCGAAAATACCAAAAATTAACCTAATGCTATAATTTTTTTATCAAGACTACATAATTAATTGTGGAATCGAATAAGGATAATGTTTACCCCAATCTTATCTATTTAATTCTTTTATTTAGAATCAATGATCATGTTTTCCTTAACAAAACCATCGTTTTTAACCGTGCGCCGTAGGACAGTACCCAGTTCACTTTTAAGCATAATGAACTCTTTATTTTTGTTTATATTGAATAAAAAAATACTATGTGCTTCAGTATGATATATTAACATTGATTGTTAATGCAGCTGAGTGCGTCTTTTAATTTTCGAGAAATACGCTTTGTCCACGATTTTACCCTCGTATATGGAGATAACGTAAAGTATTCAAGCTCAAAAGTCGATCTCAAAATAAAATCAAATTATGAATCAGATGTGTCTGACTCTGTGGTATCTTTTTTTTTATATATCATGAGCTCTCTGGTATATATTCTTATATTTTGCTTCTTAAAGTTACTGCCTTCATAATTTTTAAGGAGGTGAAAAGATATAAAAGGAAAAGAAAGACCGGCATAATTAACAGTGTTTTCTTTTCACAACCATCCATTAATAGAGTGCTAAAACATAATTGTTAAAATGTATGAAAGAAGATTCAAGAAGGTAAAAGAATTTCTTTTAACAATATGCTTACTAAAATTAACTTATAATGTTCAGAGAATACAAGTTAGTCTCGTCGAAAGATTAATTTGTGTGTATTTCCAAAATCTTATTTCATATGAAAAGTGAACATAACCTTTTTGATGCAAGCACAAGTTAAACTTGGCAAACTTTTCTTCAAGGCGAAATATGCAAAGGTCAGGTCAATACTTACACCCTTTAAAACAAATCTTATTTCAAAATCCTAGACCCCAGGCTCTCTTAAAATAAAATATAAAATGTTTTTGAGTCACAATATTTTTTTTAAATTTTGCAAAGACCTTGACCTATTTAATATGATATAAATAGTTTATTTTGAATTAAATTTGATAAAAACAATATAATTTTACAAGATGTGTTAACCTGAGATAAATCCTTCCAGAAAATATCCAGTTCCTCCTGCTCCATTGTTTTGTCTGTTTGATGTACCACCATGTTTCTGTAATATCGTATTCGTTCGACATCATCCGTTTCACTTTTCTTTCCTACCTCTGGTTTGTTCCCCCAGCCTACCAGTGGATCCTTAACATTTGGTCCGTAGTTTCGCAATAGTTTATACATAATCGTCACGTCAAACGCTGAAGATGATGGACTAGTTC